AATGAATCTAATTTACATACTTTCCATTACTATATAAGTTGATAAAGCGTTTTTTAGCAACATGAGGATTACACACAAGATATTCATTGTGCTTCTCTTTATTAGTAGCATAATTTAATCCCTCGATCTTTCCTAATACTTCGTCCGAAACATACCAAAAATGACTATCATTTACAGATCCGTTTAAAATAGTCTCTTTTTTGAAAGCCTCTAACATTATTTTAAAACTTAACACAGTCCCACAATTCTTGACATCCGAGGGGAGTTTGTTCCAATATGGTCTCACCCTCTCCGGAAGAAAAGAACTGTGGACTTTCTTCATTTTACTGCTACTTTTACTGCATCGACTGTTTGATACCACATTAAGACCAGATCTGCTCATACTGAACAAACCAGCTCCGTAATTGGCCAAACCACTTATCATTTTAAAAGATTCAATGAGGTCCCCACTTATTCGCCGCTCTGCCAGCGTTGTTAAATTGAGGATTTCCAGTCGACGACTGTATGGAAGAGTACCCACCTCGTCAATCAGACGGGTAAACCGCCTCTGGACGCTCTCCAGCTCCAAGATGATCCCCCAACTTCCATGAGCCGCAACTGGACTCCACAATTGAACACAATACCTTAAATGGGGTCTTATCAAAGCTTTGTAAATGGATATCATCACAGATTTTTCCCTGATAATCAGATTTCTAACAATCCAACATATCATTCTGTTGGCTTTAGATATTGAAGCCTTAATCTGTTCATTCCAAAGCAGAGAGTTATGGGTTATAACTCCCAAGTCTTTTTCCTGTACAGATTCTGCCAATGTAACTCCATTAAGAGAATAACTTGATCTTGGGTTATCGTTAACATCTAAATGCATTACCGAACACTTAGTAGGATTGAACTTTAAAAGCCATTTACTCTCCCACATCTCTGTGTCCCATATCCTGGTCTAATTGTCCGGTAAACAGGGTGGTAGTTGTCCCATATCCTGGTCTAATTATCCGGTATACAGGGTGGTAGTTGTCCCATATCCTGGCCTAATTGTCCGGTATACAGGGTGGTAGTTGTCCCATATCCTGGTCTAATTGTCCGGTATACAGGGTGGTAGTTGTCCCATATCCTGGCCTATTTGTCCGGTATACAGGGTGGTAGTTGTCCCTTTTCCTAGCCTAATTGTCCGGTATACAGGGTGGTAGTTGTCCCTTTTCCTAGCCTAATTGTCCGGTATACAGGGTGGTAGTTGTCCCATATCCTGGCCTATTTGTCCGGTATACAGGGTGGTAGTTGTCCCATATCCTGGCCTAATTGTCCGGTATACAGGGTGGTAGTTGTCCCTTATCCTAGCCTAATTGTCCGGTATACAGGGCGGTAGTTGTCCCATATCCTGGCCTAATTGTCCGGTATACAGGGTGGTAGTTGTCCCATATCCTGGTCTAATTGTCCGGTATACAGGGCGGTAGTTGTCCCATATCCTGGTCTAATTGTCCGGTATACAGGGTGGTAGTTGTCCCATATCCTGGCCTAATTGTCCGGTATACAGGGCGGTAGTTGTCCCATATCCTGGTCTAATTGTCCGGTATACAGGGTGGTAGTTGTCCCATATCCTGGCCTAATTGTCCGGTATACAGGGCGGTAGTTGTCCCATATCCTGGTCTAATTGTCCGGTATACAGGGTGGTAGTTGTCCCATATCCTGGCCTAATTGTCCGGTATACAGGGCGGTAGTTGTCCCATATCCTGGCCTATTTGTCCGGTATACAGGGTGGTAGTTGTCCCTTTTCCTAGCCTAATTGTCCGGTATACAGGGTGGTAGTTGTCCCTTTTCCTAGCCTAATTGTCCGGTATACAGGGTGGTAGTTGTCCCATATCCTGGCCTATTTGTCCGGTATACAGGGTGGTAGTTGTCCCATATCCTGGCCTAATTGTCCGGTATACAGGGTGGTAGTTGTCCCTTATCCTAGCCTAATTGTCCGGTATACAGGGCGGTAGTTGTCCCATATCCTGGCCTAATTGTCCGGTATACAGGGTGGTAGTTGTCCCATATCCTGGTCTAATTGTCCGGTATACAGGGTGGTAGTTGTCCCATATCCTGGCCTAATTGTCCGGTATACAGGGCGGTAGTTGTCTGATATCCTGGCCTATTTGTCCGGTATACAGGGTGGTAGTTGTCCCATATCCTGGCCTAATTGTCCGGTATACAGGGCGGTAGTTGTCCCATATCCTGGCCTAATTGTCCGGTATACAGGGCGGTAGTTGTCCCATATCCTGGTCTAATTGTCCGGTATACAGGGTGGTAGTTGTCCCATATCCTGGCCTAATTGTCCGGTATACAGGGCGGTAGTTGTCCCATATCCTGGCCTATTTGTCCGGTATACAGGGTGGTAGTTGTCCCATATCCTGGCCTATTTGTCCGGTATACAGGGTGGTAGTTGTCCGATATCCTGGCCTATTTGTCCGGTATACAGGGTGGTAGTTGTCCCTTATCCTAGCCTAATTGTCCGGTATACAGGGCGGTAGTTGTCCCATATCCTGGCCTAATTGTCCGGTATACAGGGTGGTAGTTGTCCCATATCCTGGTCTAATTGTCGGTATACAGGGTGGTAGTTGTCCCATATCCTGGCCTAATTGTCCGGTATACAGGGCGGTAGTTGTCTGATATCCTGGCCTATTTGTCCGGTATACAGGGTGGTAGTTGTCCCATATCCTGGCCTAATTGTCCGGTATACAGGGCGGTAGTTGTCCCATATCCTGGCCTAATTGTCCGGTATACAGGGCGGTAGTTGACCCATATCCTGGTCTAATTGTCCGGTATTACAGGGTGGTAGTTGTCCCATATCCTGGTCTAATTGTCCGGTATACAGGGTGGTAGTTGTCCCATATCCTGGCCTATTTGTCCGGTATACAGGGTGGTAGTTGTCCCTTTTCCTAGCCTAATTGTCCGGTATACAGGGTGGTAGTTGTCCCATATCCTGGTCTAATTGTCCGGTATACAGGGCGGTAGTTGTCTGATATCTTGGTCTAATTGTCCGGTATACAGGGTGGTACTGGTAGTTGTCCCATATCCTGGCCTAATTGTCCGGTATACAGGGCGGTAGTTGTCCCATATCCTGGCCTAATTGTCCGGTATACAGGGTGGTAGTTGTCCCATATCCTGGTCTAATTGTCCGGTATACAGGGTGGTAGTTGTCCCATATCCTGGCCTAATTGTCCGGTATACAGGGTGGTAGTTGTCCCATATCCTGGTCTAATTGTCCGGTATACAGGGTGGTAGTTGTCCCATATCCTGGTCTAATTGTCCGGTATACAGGGTGGTAGTTGTCCCATATCCTGGTCTAATTGTCCGGTATACAGGGCGGTAGTTGTCTGATATCTTGGTCTAATTGTCCGGTATACAGGGTGGTACTGGTAGTTGTCCCATATCCTGGCCTAATTGTCCGGTATACAGGGTGGTACTGGTAGTTGTCCCATATCCTGGCCTATTTGTCCGGTATACAGGGTGGTAGTTGTCCGATATCCTGGCCTAATTCAGTAATTGTCCGGTATACAGGGTGGTAATTTACTCCTGCCCACCCTGCATATAATAAGTTTGCTCCCTAAACCAAAACCAACCAAAACCTAACATATTATCACGAAATACCTAGTGGGTTGTTTAAATGTTGGATGTAATGAGGCTAAATTTTTTTAAAAAAGACTAATAATAATTTACTGGAACATAAACGTACCTCATGTTTATTTGGTAGGCCGGTTTGGGTAATTCCAATTATCATTCATTAGATTCGAACGTAAATGAATACCTAAGGCGTAGTTCCTAATTCGACTACAAAACAGTTAATCTCGCTAATATAATAACTTCAAACGGTTCGTAAAGGTTTGATTCCATTGCTAGGAAGTTCAGTTGGTACTAGGTAGTAAACACTGAATACGTCAGTTAAAAAGGGACACATCCACTCTCTCTTCCTGCCCTTACACTGGGCATCCAACATGTTGTGGTTTGTTGTTGTGTACTGATACATATCACAGGCAATATCACTTAATATTCAGCATCAGTGATCAAGTAATTTATTTTTCTGTGCTGTTCTAACAGATTTTTTTTCTACCTTAAGAGATCAAATTAAGCCATGACATGTTAGCTTTGGTTGCAATTAGTTTGAAATTATTTCGCCAAAAATGTCTCAAAAATGAATATACTGAGAAAAGAAAATTTTTGAGAAAAGACAATTACTATGAATATGCTAGACTATATTACTACAGCCCTACAGTGAAAATAATTCTCGGAATCCGACTTTTATACCACGTAAAGAAACGAATTACTGAGAACTCAATTTAGTTCCTATTAAGATCAGAGTTAAAGATATATCCCAGACGATTTTACTTACTTCTCTTATTCTCATTCGGATTTTAGACAGGTACAATAGATTAATTGTTTTTAAACAGCTTGCTTTGTTATCTTTAGTTTAAGTTAACGTATTTTAACAGCTTAACTTTTTTTGGACGGAACAAATTTTTGATGGCAATTATTGTGGAGTTGTGGGAGCAGGGAGGCCTTAATTTGTAATTATGAGCACTGGCGGGCAAATTGCTCGAATAACGGCCAACGAAGAGTTTATTAAGGTCATTTTTAGGAATAAAATTAACAAATATTGGGGCTTTATACAATAAAAGGATGCACTTAGTGGTAATAAAATAATAAGTGGTATTTTTAAAGCTCGATGGTTGAACAATGCACATGAATATCCACCTAATTTTAACTTATGAACACTGAGCAGCCAAGTTGAAGAGCGGCCCCCTTGTCATGAGCATATGTGGCTGAATAAACAATCAGTCATTGAACTAGGTGGAACTATCAAATTAAGAATTGTCGCCTTTTCTGAGAAACCCGAAATGTGCTTCCTATTTTGAACTATACATAACTGCCTAATAGGAATATAGCGTTCTCAGAAAGTGAAATCGAGTCGTAGAACGTGGGCTGTGACAAATGTTTACATTCCAGGAAGTTGTTTATATTTTCCGGTTCGTTAACAATTTGTGTTGGACAGTTTGGTCAGTATTTTTCTGATTTGTTGAGATGTTTGTTTATAATTTGTATTATGAAATTACATTTAGCCACCGATGTACCGAATTAACAACTTTGTACCAGCACTAAATTTTCATAATTTGCAGGATGTCGAAGTGTGGCTGTTTCACACCAAGGCTACCGTCCCCAGAAGACAAGAACCTCAATATAAAAATCCTAGGAGCATTCCTTGCAGATCCTAATGGTGGTAAGTATGACGACTCATTACCAACTTTCGAATACATCCCCAGATTTAGCCACTTTGATCCAACCCACATGAAGAAAGTGAGAAGAATAGCTGTGGATCTGTCCAAGAAACCTTGCAAAGAGATGATCAGAGTATTGTCATGCCTCAAGAACACTTACCCGAGCAGTGTCTATATCGACCACTTGGCAAGAGTTGCACTTCACAAACACCCTGACACTAAATTTATGTCAGTTCCTCCGCCCTACCAAACAGTTCCCAGTCTCTTCTTCGACCGGGATCTGCGTCATGGACGTCTAGAGGAGATTCTTACACATCATGATACTCTAAGAGTGGCAAAGCTAGATCCAGAACAACTTCTCGCCTGGTGGAGAGAAGACCCTGGATTTTCCAGTCATCATGGTAACTGGCATCTTTATTATCCTTTTGACGAATCTCCAGTGTTCGAGCGGCAGGGGGAGCTGTTTGCCTACATGCACGTGCAGATGTTGGCTAGATTCGACTTTGAGAGGTTGGCATTAGGGTTTTCTAGGGTGGAACCCTTTGGCCCTAGTTTTGGTTGGGACAAACCGATGAAGTACGGGTACAATCCCCGATTAGTCGGATTTTCTGCACGAGCTGGAGGTATGATGATTCCACACTCTGCCTCAAACGGGGGTAGACGAGTATTCTCGCTCGATATTGTGAGGCAAACACATGAACTATTGAATGGCATTGACAAAGGGTTCCTGATAAACTCACAGGGAAGGAGGGTTCCAGTGACCATGAACGCGTTAGGGTTGTGTCTCGAGGCGAACCTGACTCACTCTACAAACCACCAACTTTACGGGGACATACACAATAATGGTCACGTTCTAATCGCCTTTTGTGGTGATCCTGACGGAGTATGGGATATTGACAAGGGTGCCATGATGGAGTCTTTTACAGCTGCCCGAGATCCGGTATTCTACAGATGGCACAAGTTCATAGACATCTTCTTTGAGAATCACAGACGTTCGTTGAGGCAGTACACAGTGAACGATTGGGATGCACTGAAGAATGTGGAAATCAAAAGTTTCAAGACAATCATTGACGACAAGGATGCGGTAAACCTGCCTGCTCATTTAGATCTAACCAACAACTTGTTCAATTACATGGGAAAAGAAACCATCACAATCTACGACCCTGAACCAAAAGAAATCACTGATCAGGGCATCAAGAAGTCCATACCGTTCAGTTTCAAACTAAATGTTCGTAACAACGGTAGAAAGGATGCCAAAGCGGTATTTAGGGTCTTCATGGTTCCATATACGAAGGAGCCCCACGAAGTATGGAGGCTGCTGGCAGTGGAACTAGATAGATTTGTCGTGCCATTAAAAGCTGGGGAAGACAGAGAAATCGTCAGATCAGATAAAGACTCCTCTGTAATCTTACCACCCGAACTAACAGTCGGACACATCATGCAAGGTAAAACTAGTATTGGTTCCAAACCTCCGTGCGGATGCGGCTGGCCTAGGAACCTTCTCATCCCCAGAGGTCAGCCAACTGGTATGAAAACAAAGATCTACGTGTTGGCTAGCAACTGGGCGGAGGATGGTGTGAATCCCGAAGAGGGTCTGATAGGCAGTATTGCTTATTGTGGAAAGTTGGGCGGACCCTACCCTGACAAAAGACCCATGGGATTCCCCTTTGATCGTAATACTACATGGGGGGAAACCAAAGACAAATCGGGAAGAGTATACATGCCCGAATTTGACGAGGCAATCATTGACAAAGTGCCAAATGCTGCTATGGCTGAGGTCACGGTTACATACTTAACCAAACACATGATAGAGGCGGAGGAGGCGGCGGAAAAAGTAAAGAACAAGGAATTCTTCCAAAAGTCTACCCCTGTGCATTTCTCAAAGGATAACTTTTCTAATTCTGAAGGATCATCAAGTGACAGTGATGACGATACAGGAAAAATAAGGAGAAGCCTCTCATCTTTAAAGTTCTTCTACGGCTAAACTTTACTTAGCGAGCTCTTGATTATTCCTAAACACTAAATTTATTTTTGCCCTAGTTAAGATTTCGTGGACACAATTGAGTGAAATAGACTGAGAAAACACTGAAATGCAATGTTGGAGATCATCGGATGGGACAATCTCGAATGAAAAACTGAATAGATCACGATAAAAATCTTCCTCAAGAAGATAGTGATCATTTTCATTCGAAATGAATTTCTCAGTATTAAAGAGTGTATATAGATATAAATTATACCTGTTAGATTTTTTACTTTTTAAAGCATTTTAGCATGTTTTAAATTTAATTAGCATGTTTTAAATTTAATTAGCATGTTTTAAATTTAATTAGCATTTTTTAAAATTTAAATGGATAACATAGGCCCGAACTTACAGTCATTATCAAGCACTCAGTGCCTTCTCATATGTCCCTGTGCTCACTACACTTAATTTCTTTGGACATGACTTGTGAAGAATGGTGACTGCTCGGGTTTGTTATTATTCACTTGACGAGACTTTTTTTTTAATGAATGAGGAGTAAAAACCGATGAAATTGATTTTAAATCAAAATTTTAAAATTGTGATTCTTATCTGATTTATTGTTATCCCGAGCCTAATCTGAACCAGGTTAGGCCAACTTAATTTAAATACGATTTTACAAATTTTCGACCACCGACAGTGACCCTGACATTCTGTGATGACGGAGATTTAATAATATATTTGTATCGTGAATCATGATCAATCGAGTAATTACGAATTTTCTCAGAATGATAGATGGATTTTTCATTCGAATTGTTCTAATAATACTCCAGATTCAGTGAGACGCTTTTGGTAATAATAAGCGCTCAGATTGTGTGGATAGCCTTCGAATTTTTTACACTTAATAATAATATATTGTTTCCGGTTCGTTAGATAGTCTAAAAGTATTCTGTGAAAACTTCTGTTGGTTCCATATTTGAGAAGTTGTTTCCAATAATACATGACTTACAGTTTCAAAGGCACGAGAGAATTTCATAAAAATTCTTGAAGTATGTCTTTTCTAGCGTTTATCAGAACACAACATGATGTTTGTGATGGGTTTTGATTTTTGAATAATTGTTAATTAGTATAATAATAATAATTGAATATTTTTCCTCTTCTACATTTTTATTCATCCTCTTTTACTTCAAAATGAACAAATCAATCAAACAAACAACCAACTGGTGGCAACCCTATTTTCTAAGAAAACACTCCGCCGAAAATAAGCTTTCTCCCTTATCCTACGACGTCCAATTCTGAGAAATTACTGATATAAAGTATTCCTAAATCACAGCTAAAATTGTTTTGTAGTGACTAGTGAATACTGATTATTCCCTACGATTATTAATTGAGTTAAACTTTTCAAAAATTGCACAGTTCATCGGGTAATAGCGAAATATAGTATATATATATATATATAGGGATCATATCGATAACTTGTACAGTTGTACAATAGCTCTCTTATCTGCTTCCCCCAACTAAACGGGTGGATTGTGGAAATTGGAATATAATTTGAATGTCCGGATATACGTACGTGCTTTTTTCAAATTAATTCTTTGGACTAAACTGATGAGGGAATGCATACGCCATACATACAATAAATAACCCTTGCCGATTCTAATAAACGTGTTCAAGATTTCTGATGTTTCTTATTCGATGGGACTCAACAAAATTCCGTAGCAACTCTGTCAGATAGGAACTCCAGAGGGAAACTGTCTCCAACACACAGCATGCATATGAAACTGTTAACTGTTGTCCAGATGAGGTTACCACTTTCCAGTTGCCAGCCGAATTTACTTTAAAATACTTTAAGTATTCGTAAGCCAATTCAAGAACGCAACTCGTGCGCGCGCGCGTTAGATGTTACACAAACTGCTGAACGCCTTCTATTTCCAGATTATAATATTCTAGCGTCATTCGTAAAACGGGCACATTTTGCGGACGGATATTGCGTTTTTGGACCTGGAAAACCTAAGTGGCCAACTGCTTGAATTATGAGGACTAAGCCTGAACAGACATTGTAAGCATGGATTCTTTTCCAATCCATATCGAAGTAAGTGGTTATTCAAGCGTTTTATTTCAATTTCTCACCAGAACTCCTGATCAAATAAAGCCAGGAACCTTACAGTGGAGTTAAATATAGCAAGGTGAAATAGTTAATATAACAAGGGAACGGTCGAGGGTTGAAAAAGGCATAGATTATAATATTAGAAATGTCAAAAAATTATACATAATAGTTATTGTTAACTAATTCTAATAAAAACTCTAACAACACGAATAGATAATTTCAGATAATGTTTATAATTTTTGCAGGAACATGATCGATTGAGTCTCGATTACCAACGTATCCTCCTCTTTTAACATAATTGCAACACTGAACACTCACAATCTTTTCCATTTATTGAGGTGATACTCCCTTGTGGATGGCCGCAAAAAGTCGAGTCACAAGTGGGTCGCCTCGAGATACGTCGTTTTTATGTTTTCATAATCATCAATCTTAAGATTCTACACTTCATTGTTTTGGGTGACTGCGGCTCAATACCATCATTACTGCTTGTCGATTTCATACTTCATAACTAGCTACCAGTTACTAAATTCAAGTTAAAAAGCATCTTTAAAATATTGTTTGTCAAAATCCTAACACTTCAAAGAAACTCAGTTGTAATGTTTTAGCTTTCGTTTTAGCTCAGTATTCTCCTCTGTGAGTTCAGCGTTTTTTGAAGAGAGGAAGACACAATCCTGAATACAGGAGTTCAAGAGATCTTGGAATTTACTGTTGGTTGCAGCCTTTGCCTCTTCGTAGAAATCCTTGTACTGTCGAAAAGTGAGCAAGTTTCTAGCTTTTTGTGTTTCTGTTTCCACCTAGAAAATAAAAAGGAGTGAGTTTATAACTTTCTGGGTGTCAGTTTCTACCTAGAATACAAAAGCAGTTTACATAAAAGAGAACTGTTATTAGTTAGAAATTAGCACAGTCTATAATCTCAACTATGCCTCTAAGTATAATGTCGCAGCTTCCATTTTAACTAAAGATAAAAACACAATAAAAAATAAAGCCACAAACCCTATGGGCAGAGTTGAGTGCCTCCATTGCTTCCGATAACTTCTCATTCTCAGCCTGTAGACACTGCACGTGCAGTGCAAGATGTGAGAGCTGCGCGCCTTGTTGCACGTGCTGTTCCTGAATCTTGACAATATGCTCTAGAGTCAGAGTGTTTCCTTGAGTAGCTGACAGTTTTATCTGCGGGTGGTTACTGTGGTTACTGTGATTACTGTGGTTACTGTGGTTACTGTGGTTATTGTGGTTATTGTTTACTGTTACCGGCTAATGAACATGCGTTTCCAATTCACATATTTCACAATCTGAGTTAGCTTTGCGGCAAAACGTAGAGTGGCTTTTTAAAACTGCATTAAAGTTGACATGCTTATTGAGCATATTAAGCAACCATGCAAATATTGCACGGGAATGCAGATATGAAGAATTTAAACGGCCAAATTAAAGACCTCGGCAGTTTCCTGGACAGAGTCGGTTTGAAGGCGTTCCTTTTCCTCGTCTAGAAATTGCTGGTTATCTCGCTTTAGGTGAGTTATTTGGTCTTTCTTCATCATGAGTGTCAGAGCGAAGTTTCCTGACGTTTCTAGCTCTGTCGAAGAACTCTGCGTTCTTTCCAACTGTTGGTAAAATGTTTATCATCTACCGGGAAAGTTAGGATACATTTTCCTTTCCGGAAGACTTTTATCTTTTTATAAATAATATATTCTCTTCCTGTCCATAAAATGATCCGCATAATAACTAGAAGATCTGAAACAAGTTATAAAATTAACCTTAAGTTTATCTTGAGCTTCCTTAACATCCTTCTTTAGATCTCTCAACTTATTGTTTCCTGTTTTTAACTCATCTCGTAACTTGTGAATCTTCGTAAGACTGCCCTAAAAATAAAATGAGGACGATAAAAAATCAAGCTAAAAAACTAACGACAATATAAAAGATAATCTCAATAACTTTCGAAAAGTTTCAACAAATAAAACCCAACAGACCTTTTATAAACTCTCATCAAAAATAAACACAACAGCCAAACTAACTTGAAGAACAGGTTCTGACTGATTGGGCTGCTCAGCTAAAGAAGTATGCGTACTGATACTGGACTGTAGTTCAGTCTTCAAACCGTCTACTATCTCTCGCTGCTTCTTGTATTCCGCCACAAGATTCTCCTTATCCTTCTGCAGGAGCAAAACAGAGCTTGAGTTGTTGTTGATCTGGCCAGCAGTTTTAGTGATCCACTCCAGGACACCCTGATCAGCAAGGGTCTCCCGGCGCTGTTCTTCCGCAAGCGCGCTCTCTCGCTCGCGTACATCCCATTGTAACCGCTTGGCGGCAGAGAGGGACGACAGACTGTTGTCCAGCTCTAATATGTGCTCCTGGAATGAGATTTGGGCATTTTGAAAATGTAGCTAGTTATATCAATGAGGTTATTAAACTTACAGAGATTAGTAAAACGCACTTGCAACTAAGTACTCACTGATTTAACAAGCGTATATATTGGAAACCTTGTCAATATTGACGGAAGATTGGGAAGTTATCGCATCCCTAGCCACAGCAACTCTCTTCCTCAGGTCCTCGATCAGCTGTTGAGTATCCAGAGTATTTGGTTTAGGTGCCAGTTGGATGGTCAGACATTTTGTCAACATTTCCAGGGTCTTTCCCGTAGTATCTACGCTAAGTGAGTTTAGTGTGAACTAAACAGTTTTATAAATTATCATTAGCTAGAAATTATGATTTTAAGACTCTACATAACATCCGAAAAGAAACATTTTGCCTGTGCTAGAGCTACCTTTTAGCAGTTGGGGAAACATGTCCTAGAACAGTAAGGTAAGCAGTCTTATCCATTACAGATTTTAGTAGTTGTGTTAGCTTGCTTCCACTAAATCCTGACAGAAAGGTCACATTTATATCCCTAAATCCTAGTATTCATGATATCAAATTATTTGTTATATAGTAGTGTTGAAAGTATTAAAAATACTTTCAAAAAAAATACTTTTAACACTATCAACACTACTATAATAAATAACAAATAATTTGAGATCATGAATACGATGTTGTAACATTGAAACGTCGAGTAATTCCTTTCTTGATAAGAGTATTTTTCCTTGTCGCATCAAACGGGATCATTACAAATTTACACAAGAATACATTGCGACTCATAAGCAATATTCCAATCCGGATTTTACTTAAATCCTAGCATTAGAAATTACGCTCAATCAAGATAATGACAGACTCATCAGCTATCTCCAAATAACAAACTTTAATAAAAAGCCTAATAGTAACAATGATGAAACCTGTGGGCTGCTGCGAAGAGGCGCACTCAGATATCAGTGTCTCCAGAGACTTGATACTATTTGAGACACCCTGGTCTTTGGAGTGATTCAGACCCGCCACATTATAAAACTGAATCTGGCTCCTGACCAGGTTCTGTTCTGAATTCCGGTACTCGCAGGATATAGTGAAGATTGTGTGGGATTTAGTTGCCGGAGTGTTCATCTCCAGTTCTACAATCTTCCTCACTTTATTACCTACGTTAGTATGTAATATAATAATATCATAATAATAATATAGAATTATTATTATATAGAATTATTAGAATTTAAACGAACAATAACTTCGATATTATTGATAGTTGTTGTGTAAAGGATTGAAATGGGCATCATGGCAAACTACTGGATCAGACTAGGCAACACTGTCAGATGGAAAAGTTTATTTATAAATTACGAACCTTGATCATACAATCTCATCAGATCAGCAGTTGACTTCACAGAGAGTTCCGATAAATGCTCTACGTACACTCCTAGATTTGCTTGTGTCTTTACCTAATAATGATTTGAGATGATTATGAACGTGTAAGTCAGAAAATTGCTTAATTAAAGTTTGACCTAAAACGATTCATCAGAGAAATAAAATCGATCAAAATTTCTTTTAACTAGTTGTGTTATTTAATTCATGGCTGTTAGGCCAGCCGTAGTGAAAAAATATTGACTATTATATCGTTGTGGAACCTAAATAAATGATATTTACCTTCAAATCCTTATCAGCCGGATTTAACAAGTCAGCGAACTTGTCGTTGTAAATATTGAGATAAGACACACCCACAAAGTGACTTAGTTTTTCAACATGGTTAAATATTGACGCAGCAATCAGCGCCACTAAACCCGGACCAGCTGGAGAATTAGCTACCCCGAGAGATGTAGATTTGCCACTTTTACTTTCACCAACACAAATAAAACCAGTGTTGATACCTTTGGAAATTCCCTGTGGGATAGATAATGTTGTTATACAATATAGTAATAATGTGCGACAAGGTTTATATGGTAAATTTTACACTATTAGTTGGATTATTTAGGACATTGTTCAGTTAATTTATACAATCACAGAATTGGATAAATATATAATTTGTAGGTACAAATAATAAAACCTGAATTATGGCGTTTTGCAAAGAGCTTTTGTAGAACTGGTCATTGCTGACCTCAGGGCCAAATCCAGTCAGTTGGTAAGTCTTGTCATCGACTGAAATTAGGTTGAAGTTAGATAGTCCACCAGCTCAGAAGTGCCGGAAATAGGTGCCGGAAATAGGTGCCGGAAATAGGTGCCGACCGTCTGCACATACTTTTTGCAAGTCTCAGAGAAAACGTAAGCAACGCACAAGAGCTCTATTAATTCCATTAATTGAGAAAAAAATAGTTAATTGTGTTCGAAAACCACCAATATACATTATGTAATCAGCTTCAATTTCTTATTTTTAGGTTCTAAGAGAAAGAAACGAGTTCATAATTATTACCAATAACTTTGTCGTCTCCATATTTAACAACTTTCGCTTCTCCCTTTTCTTTCTCACTACTATTCAAGCCTCTAACTCTGACAAATATTTTAGCTTTATCCATATCCTTCTAGTTATTCCTTCACATCGCTTGGAAATGGTGAAAGGTCAGTAACGAAAAGTGATTGATAAATCTACTTTGATTCTATGACAGCTGATATCAAATAACCTCAAAGTCTGATAGGACGCTGATAGTTAAATAAATGGATGAGTATTAAATATGCAGTGTATGTGACTGTATGATGTTACGGTAACGAACTCATAGGAAACGCTAATACGTTAAGTGCTGCACGTTACCAAGGCAACTCACATGCCCTCCCACAACAACTTACTCGCTATTATGTATCTCCAAACTGTGCAATAGTAAAAGTGAAGGCAATAACAATTTTGCCAATTGCCATACATTTACACATCCCAATATCCAACTGTGGTGCCATGATTCTTGATGATAAGTACGTTATTGGCTGTTATGAAGGTTCTATGGAGGAGGAACCTGGATTGGTGCCAACAGTGATTAAATGGATTGCTAATTTGCGTTTAGAAGATGAGAGTGGGTTTTTTAACCGATTTTAGTTATTAAGGCAAAAGGTTTGAATCGAAAAATGACATATTTTATCATATAAGCATAATAATTAGTTTTAGTAAAAACTTGACAGAATTCTTGACACTCAAAAATATTAAATCCGTTCTGATTTCTGAATCTGACATATTATAATAATGTAGCCCAAAAATATTTCTATAAAACAAACTATATTACATTACACTGAAAATCAATACTTCAAAAATCACTATCGACAATAAAAAACTGATCCCTCAAATCAGGGTACTAGAAAACTTTATCTTTCGAAACTTTATCTTTTGAAACTTAATCTTTTGAATTTATACGTCTAACGTCCCATCATCGTTATTCGTTAATCTTCATCACCGAAACGGGGACAATACGGCAGTGTGCTGGGGGAGACAGTGCACACTGAGTGTGCCCTGTCTCCCCCGCTGTAGTATCCTACATACCGATCAAGCCACTCTCAAGATATAAACTTCAAACTGATTTAATACCATTTGAATATAAGAATATGTATAAGAATATGCCAAATTACACTCATATTCATATAAAAACTCAATGATCTGATATTTAGGTGGTGTCACAGAAAAATAAATGTTTGACGAAAGAAAAGTTTCTGAAATAGTATCCTTGTGACACTGTGACACACTGTTGTACTGTAACAATATGTGTGTTTTACAAAATGTCTGCGAAATGTCGAATATAAACCTCGGTCCCCAAGAACAGGAGAGACTCGAACTAGAGCATACTTTCTGAACAGTTCCATCATACCCCAGTAACTGCGTTCAGTGCCACTATTGCGTCCTCTGATTTCTGAGAAAGATAACTTGTTATGTTTTAGCAGTTAAACCTAAGTTATTAAATCTAATTTTGTTGCACAAGGTTTTTTAAATAATTAGGATTCTTTTAGCTAGTGTAAGCAAGTATTTTGAAATAAAGCATGTTGTTGAACGTTGTGATTTATTTTAAGTCACAACAGTCAAAGATATTTTAAATTCAACTGGTGTTATCATTATAAGAGAGTAAACAACAACAACAACAAAGTCAATCTTTATCATAATAACATCAAAACTGGTCATAAAACAAGCAGTAAAATATATGTTTCTACCGTCACACTATCAAGAACTAAACCATCTTAAAACAATTAGATTTAACGTACTAATCAAATGTACCTGTACAATATCCTCAAAAGAAGGAAACTCTGTCATGGCGTTAGTAAGGAGCTGTACAACCGGGTAACTAGCAAGCTAATTAATTAATTATTTTATTATTATAAAACAGGATCTTACCGACAAAAATGATTCTTAAAAATACCTTAATGCGGTAAACTGTACCCTTGAAAAAGATTTTCCCAACATCTGTTGCATGCAGCTATATCTCTAATTTCATTCAATTCATGAGAGTTGTCCATTTGCAAATTTCTACTACTTAAATCACTTCTTAAAACCGATAACAAGTTCATTCTAGGTCTCCCCAATCTTCCAATAAATAAATTATCTGATTCAATAGCAAAAGAGAGAGCCGTTTGGGCTGGGGTGTTCTGCATACTCCTGAGAATGTGTCCAAACATCTTCCACCGCTGGTGTTCGATACGCTTTGATAACTTTTCAACTTTGCACCTTTCATACAATGCTTTGTTGCTTATCATACCTTTAGGCCATTTGATGTTTAAAATGGACCTGAGGTGTCTACGATGAAGTGTGTCCATTTTCTCCATGGTTGCTTTTTTAGGACTCCAACTATTTGAGTTGTAAATTAATACAGATACAACTTGAGCGTCATATAACCTCAGCTTTCTTTCAAGGGAAATTTTCTTACCGGACAACCAAACTTTTTCGAAGTTCTTAAAAGCAATTTCAGCTAGGATTCTCCTTCTTTGAATGTCCTTCTCAGTACACAGTAAGGAACCTAGTGACTTATTACTTCGCCATGGTTCATTATTAGCTAATGGCTGACCGTTAGTGTTTTTATCAGATTTTTTCGCCAGGTAGAAGGTACTGAATTCAGTTTTACTTTCATTTACTTGGAGGTTCCAGTCTTTGAGAATCTCTTTCACTGCAGGAAGGAAAATTCTCAGTTTCTCGATGTCCTCGTCAGCAAAGTCACAATCGTCTGAATATTCCCACTCAGTTGGAAAACCTAGTTCTGATACTGGTGGGTTTGGTCTCCCAGATACAGCTCTGAGGTGGTGTAAGGCTGCTGCAAGAATAAGTGTGAATAGCTTTCCAGATAAACTGTCACCTTGAAAGGCTCAGAGTAAACTTTCAAACTCTTCCGACAGTGAGGAGTTAACACGAACTCTAAGGAGAGTATTCGATAGAAGGTATTGAACTAGGCGAATGTCGTCCTCCGAACAACCAGCATCTTTCAAAACATTTATGATAGTATCCCTTTTCACGGTATCAAAAGCTCTACTCATATCAATACCCATTTTGCTAAATGTCCATTTCTTCCTCATCACAACAGATATGAGCATTCTCTGAGCCCACACAATGTCAGAGCAGCTCCTACCTCTCTTGTAAGCACTCTGCCATGGCATGGTGTAGTTGTCAATTCTACTCTCAACCCGTTTTAAGGCAACCCGTTTTAAGGCAATTAATTAATTAACTAATAATTAATTAACTAATTAATTAATTAATGTACCTGTACAATATCCTCAAAAGAAGGGAACTCTGTCATGGCGTTAGTAAGGAGCTGTACAACCGGGTAACTAGCAAGCTAATTAATTAATTAACTAATATTAATTAATTAATGTACCTGTACAATATCCTCAAAAGAAGGAAACTCTGTCATGGCGTTAGTTAGGAGCTGTACAACCGGGTAACTAGCAAGCTCAGCAGCTAACTCATCTGACTCCCCCATAGTCAGCATCAACTCACACATTGCTTCTACTACCTGTAAACAGCAGTTCTTAGTTATTTAGTTGTGCTTATAGTTGATGATGATGAGACGTCGTGTGGGGGGTGCCAAAAAACATAACAAGTTGTTATAGCTAGGTTTTTATAGCAAGGTATTATAACAAGGTATTAGCAGCCTAAAAACAACTTATTGAAAACTTGTTAAAACTTGTTAAAAACTTTATATAAATAACTTAATCATAATTATGATAATGATCAGGGTAGCAATAAACTAAGAAAACTTTTTAATGAGTCGCAGTTAAGCTCATTACTTTTAATTAATTAATTACCTCCTGATTGCTAGAGTGTTTCTTGAAGGCGTCCAGTATAGTAGGAACTGACTGAGGATCTGATAGCAGCTGTAAACCGCACATTTCATCTGCGTATATAATCCCTCCAATCGTTGTGCACGCATTCTTTACAACCTGAAATAAAAGCAAAGACATGTGACAACGATAAACCAGTCATATTGCAGATACGCCATCTTGCAGTATTTCAGAATATTCAGTTGGAATTATCAAGAAGATAGTCATATCGTATGAATATTTAATAAATTTTCATAGTTTACAAAAATATTTCCCACTGCATCTGGTTCAATATAACGATATTGGTGATGATGCAGAACTTATTTAGTCTGCGGACCCCCACTCCCAACAAGTAGCTCCAATCTACATCTCTACAGAGAAGAATGTGTATTATGGAATGTTGCACAAGATGATGACGTCACAAGATGATGACGTCAGATGCTCCCTGGCATGTTTGTTACGTAAGTGGTTAACCAGAAAGTGGATGAAAACTACCCACAATGTTTCTAACAGCTGGATTATCATTACCTTAGGAGCGTTGATGTGTTGTTTGATGGCAGATACCAGCATTGAGATGACATTTTCATCTCTCATAATCTCAATATTCTCATCTTCCATACTGAGAGACCAGAGAGCAGAACACGCATTCTCCACCAACTCTTCTATATCCTGCACGTGATTAATTAAGTAACTGTCGGTTACTGCACGTGTTTAATTAGGTAACTGTGGGTTACTGCACGTGTTTAATTAAGTAACTGTGGGTTACTGCACGTGTTTAATTAAGTAACTGTGGGTAACTGCACGTGTTTAATTAGGTAACTGTGGGTAACTGCACGTGTTTAATTAGGTAACTGTGGGTTACTGCACGTGTTTAATTAGGTAACTATGGGTTACTGCACGTGTTTAATTAGGTAACTGTGGGTTACTGCACGTGTTTAATTAGGTAACTGTGGGTTACTGCACGTGTTTAATTAGGTAACTGTGGGTTACTGCACGTGTTTAATTAAGTAACTGTGGGTTACTGCACGTGTTTAATTAGGTAACTGTGGGTTACTGCACGTGTTTAATTAGGTAACTGTGGGTTACTGCACGTGTTTAATTAGGTAACTGTGGGTTACTGCACGTGTTTAATTAGGTAACTGTGGGTAACTGCACGTGTTTAATTAGGTAACTGGGATTTAATATGTGGGTTACTAGGTAACTTTGTTTAACTATGTAGTATGTGTAACTATTATAGATTGACTGTGAATCAAGTGTATTCATCAACCGTCATATTATTAAAGGATTTAACTTGTAGATAAATGACTCGAGTAATGATAATGAACCTGTTAAACTTGATATAAAACTAGGAAACTTGTGAGTTTTCATACCTTGTGAGTTTTCATAGCGTTACAGATATCTTGTAAACCACATTCCTCAGTAAGGATGGCAGTGTTAGAGTCACATACCGCTAAAATCCACAGAGCTCCACAACAGTTGCTTCCAATCTGAGGGACAAGTTATAATTGATAACAATCTCAGTAACTACTAGTGAACGTTGTAATTGATAAAAAGCCAACAAATTAGTTAACGTTGCACTTTCTAATTCTTCATTTTATTGGGGGAGGGTTTTGGTGCTGATTTTAATTTCGTCACCCCCGTTTCACGTGTATATATAATAGCTCTTATGTCATATTATCACTGTTATCAGTAAATGGCAAATACCATTCACTTATGAGCTAACTTTTACATTCCTGTTTTTTATCCACACGTCATGATTACACGTGATTACACGTCATGATTACACGTCACGATTACAGCGATAAGAGGAGCTCTTTTAGTCACGCCACTTTCCTTGAGATCAAATGAGGGGACAAACCGTTGTCATGGCAACCGAGGATAGTAAACATTATGGAAACGTAATCTGGTATCTTAATACCAACATTAGATTGAATTGGTTCGTGCCACATACCATACACTACTAATTGCTGGAATACCATCTACCACAAACCACATACTAGTCGTCAATTTTACAACATTTTCAGTGTCTAATAATGTATACAAAGGACAGTTTGTTACATGCTGTACCCTAGTCTGAGAAATATGCATGATTTTAGGAATTGTTAAACTAGATTCACGCAGTAATTTGAGACATAGGTGTCTTAATTGGATGGCAATGTCAGGTATGGGGCAAATGACCTATATTTTACACCTGCCCAATTTCCATGGACATTGTAATTCCTTGAAGATTTAATTTCGAGGACTTCTAAAGGTTAAATAATTTATATGCTAAATTCAAAGCGTTATAAATAATGTCTTGTAGTTTTGTAACAACGCATTAACGAAATGGCTAAGTTTAGCAAAAGAGCAGCCAGACTAATAAACTCACCACAGCATTGTTAGGGTAGGCTCTGAGAGCAGCCAGACTTATAAACTCACCACAGGATTGTTAGGGTAGGCTCTGAGAGCAGCCAGACTTATAAACTCACCACAGGATTGTTAGGGTAGGCTCTGAGAGCAGCCAGACTAAACTCACCACAGGATTGTAAGGGTAGGCTCTGAGAGCAGCCAGACTTATAAACTCACCACAAGATTGTTAGGGTAGGCTCTGAGAGCAGCCAGACTAATAAACTCACCACAGGATTGTTAGGGTAGGCTCTGAGAGCAGCCAGACTAATAAACTCACCACAGGATTGTTAGGGTAGGCTCTGAGAGCAGCCAGACTTATAAACTCACCACAGGATTGTTAGGGTAGGCTCTGAGAGCAGCCAGACTTATAAACTCACCACAGGATTGTTAGGGTAGGCTCTGAGAGCAGCCAGACTAAACTCACCACAGGATTGTTAGGGTAGGCTCTGAGAGCAGCCAGACTTATAAACTCACCACAGGATTGTTAGGGTAGGCTCTGAGAGCAGCCAGACTAATAAACTCACCACAGGATTGTTAGGGTAGGCTCTGAGAGCAGCCAGACTTATAAACTCACCACAGGATTGTTAGGGTAGGCTCTGAGAGCAGCCAGACTTATAAACTCACCACAGGATTGTTAGGGTAGGCTCTGAGAGCAGCCAGACTAATAAACTCACCACAGGATTGTTAGGGTAGGCTCTGAGAGCAGCCAGACTTATAAACTCACCACAGGATTGTTAGGGTAGGCTCTGAGAGCAGCCAGACTTATAAACTCACCACAGGATTGTTAGGGTAGGCTCTGAGAGAAGCCAGACTAAACTCACCACAGGATTGTTAGGGTAGGCTCTGAGAGCAGCTAGACTAAACTCACCACAGGATTGTTAGGGTAGGCTCTGAGAGCAGCCAGACTTATAAACTCACCACAGGATTGTTAGGGTAGGCTCTGAGAGCAGCCAGACTTATAAACTCACCACAGGATTGTTAGGGCAGGCTCTGAGAGCAGCCAGACTTATAAACTCACCACAGGATTGTTTGGGTAGGCTCTGAGAGCAGCCAGACTTATAAACTCACCACAGGATTGTTAGGGTAGGCTCTGAGAGCAGCCAGACTTATAAACTCACCACAGGATTGTTAAGGTAGGCTCTGAGAGCAGCCAGACTTATAAACTCACCACAGGATTGTTAGGGTAGGCTCTGAGAGCAGCCAGACTTATAAACTCACCACAGGATTGTTAGGGTAGGCTCTGAGAGCAGCCAGACTTATAAACTCACCACAGGATTGTTAGGGTAGGCTCTGAGAGCAGCCAGACGAATAAACTCACCACAGGATTGTTAGGGTAGGCTCTGAGAGCAGCCAGACTTATAAACTCACCACAGGATTGTTAGGGCAGGCTCTGAGAGCAGCCAGACTAAACTCACCACAGGATTGTTAGGGTAGGCTCTGAGAGCAGCCAGACTAATAAACTCACCACAGGATTGTTAGGGTAGGCTCTGAGAGCAGCCAGACTTATAAACTCACCACAGGATTGTTAGGGTAGGCTCTGAGAGCAGCCAGACTTATAAACTCACCACAGGATTGTTAGGGTAGGCTCTGAGAGAAGCCAGACTAAACTCACCACAGGATTGTTAGGGTAGGCTCTGAGAGCAGCCAGACTAAACTCACCACAGGATTGTTAGGGTAGGCTCTGAGAGCAGCCAGACTAATAAACTCACCACAGGATTGTTAGGGTAGGCTCTGAGAGCAGCCAGACTTATAAACTCACCACAGGATTGTTAGGGTAGGCTCTGAGAGCAGCCAGCACATCTTGAACTCCTCCCTCGTCCCCAATCTCCTGTGCAGCTACATCGTCAGCCGCCATTGCCATCAGCAGCGCACTTGCAACCGCTTGTAAGTGAGGTGAGTTGCTGTGGTTCCGCATCGCATGTAAAACTGGTCCAATCGTGGGCTATGGGATAAATTAATAGATTCATGCTCCTATCAATACTGAATAAGAATAAAATCATAAAAGCTCTTTTAGATAATATTACATCAGTGTCAGTAAGAGATAGCAGTGTTAGTTAATATATCTTACCTTTTGGATCAAAATATCATCAGGTTCGGTGGTTACGACCAGGTTTTGTAAGAGCTCTATTGCCGCTATCAGCACTTTCTCATCTCCCATGTGAAGTTTCATTACGGTCGTTATAAGTGTTTTCTGTTCGTCTGTTATCTCAATCTGGAGAGCATCTAGTTAAGAAACGGAAACCAATTATTATTGGCATACCACTTGAACGGTTCTGTAAATTCCTTTTCGAAGAAATTCATGTTTTAAACTTTTTAATGTATAATAATTATTGGTATCATGTACTAAATGAATGATTATATTATGGTCGTATGAAATTGCCCACCTTTTCGTCCCGACTAATCTCAGTAAGATGTTCCATACTGTCCACCATGGCCCCCTGAACTTCTTTATACTTCTCTACGTAATCAAATAGCATGTCTAAACTCTTTCCTTTAGGTACTGCTTCATACTCTGTAAAAAGGAAGAATCATTTACTGTAAATTGGAGGCGAACAGTGCATTTTAGTGGTACACTTCCCTTACATTTTAGGTAATTGTTAGATATCAGTACCTTCGATGCCGTTGGAGACGCCAATATCACCAGGTTTAGATTTGCTGAGAGCAATGCAGTGGTTCACGTACTGCATCTCTTTTAGTTCCAGAGCTCCAGGTCTCTGTTTGAAGTTCCTTCGGAGCATAGTTCGGATTACTCCACATAACTCCGACTCATACTGTTCTCCTACTAGCTTTAATGCTTCTTCTAGTACCTGAGAATCAAGGAAATCCGGATGAAAATCAAGAACTTCATAAAATAAGATTTTAATGATTTGGGGAGGGGTAATTTGTAGAATTGACCCTGAGTGGTGCTACCTCGCGTGCTACCTCGCGCCCTGAAAATTGTCTAAAATCTATATCTACTGAAGTTTATGAGCTATCACTCTGAAACTTTTAGGATATATGTTCATGGGATCATTTAGAAGAGAATGACTCGCGCAATACAATTACATATTCAACAAAATGAACCATGGTAACTCTTGTCACAACATTTGTCATTTGGCTCATACTATACGATCTCTTGAGATATAGCCAGGACAGCCAGGTCCCTGCTAAAGTGAATCAGCAGCGGTAAATGTTGTTTCTCAGAACACTGGGAACCCATGGTAACCTTACGATACCAAGCTCTAGTACCCAGTGACAAATTGTTACGCAGTATGTGTGGGGGTAACAGTTACATATACTTTGTGTGGGGGTAACACTGTGGGGGTAACAGTTAAATATACTTTGTGTGGGGGTAACAGTTACATATACTTTGTGTGGGGGTAACACTGTGGGGGTAACAGTTAAATATACTTTGTGTGGGGGTAACAGTTACATATACTTTGTGTGGGGGTAACACTGTGGGGGTAACAGTTAAATATACTTTGTGTGGGGGTAACAGTTACATATACTTTTTGTGGGGGTAACAGTTACATATACTTTGTGTGGGGGTAACAGTTACATAAACTTTGTGTGGGGGTAACACTGTGGGGGTAACAGTTAAATATACTTTGTGCAGGGGTAACAGTTACATATACTTTGTGTGGGGGTAACACTGTGGGGGTAACAGTTAAATATACTTTGTGTGGGGGTAACAGTTACATATACTTTGTGTGGGGGTAACAGTTACATATACTTTGTGTGGGGGTAACACTGTGGGGGTAACAGTTAAATATACTTTGTGTGGGGGTAACAGTTACATATACTTTGTGTGGGGGTAACAGTTAAATATACTTTGTGTGGGGGTAACAGTTACATATACTTTGTGTGGGGGTAACAGTTACATATACTTTGTGTGGGGGTAACAGTTACATAAACTTTGTGTGGGGGTAACACTGTGGGGGTAACAGTTAAATATACTTTGTGTGGGGGTAACAGTTACATATACTTTGTGTGGGGGGAAACACTGTGGGGGTAACAGTTAAATATACTTTGTGTGGGGGTAACAGTTACATATACTTTGTGTGGGGGTAACACTGTGGGGGTAACAGTTAGATATACTTTGTGTGGGGGTAACAGTTACATATACTTTGTGTGGGGGTAACACTGTGGGGGTAACAGTTAAATATACTTTGTGTGGGGTAACAGTTACTTATACTTTGTGTGGGGGTAACACTGTGGGGGTAACAGTTACATATACTTTGTGTGGGGATAACAGTTATATATGCTTTGTGACGTCATCATATAACAGAATCAGAATGGAGGTTATGTTTCCCACGCCGAGAGATAGGGGACACGGTGCACATGCGCCCCACTGTGTGCCACCTAGAAGTAACTGAGAACAGTCTCTATAGGTCTGTCATATGAGATATTGTTGGAGTTCCTTCATCGAAACTAAATTAACTAGTTCATTAACTTAGATCCTTGCTCATAACAGCAGCCAAATAACAAAGTTTAGGAACTTAGAGACTAAATAATAAGTACCTGGGGGGAATGTTTAATCTGAACTAAAATTGAGGAGATTTCGTTAGCGTCATGAGTAGCAGTAGTTGCCATCTCCAGTATGATACACCCCATACTCCAGCAGTCACTACGTTCATCATAGGGTCTCTCCAACACCTGGAAACAGAAGTGAAAAGTTAAGATTTTACATAAAATAACAGCAACAGATCCTGTTGCATGTTGACTAAGTGGCAGTAATTGATCCAGGTCAATTAGGATCTTTAAAAAGTTCGAATTTGTTTTTCAGAAACACTTTTTGATACATGGATAGTCAAGTCATATTTGCGAGTAAAAAATCAGATTAAATTCCACTGAAAAAACGGACTAAAAAATCTTTTTTCCCTTTTTTGCATTAGTCTCCATATGATCTCATCTCAGGTCTATGGTCCGTAGGTCCGTTTTTTATATAAATAGCTGGGTACATAACCGTGATATTAGCCTCTATAATGAATCATGTAAATACTGCTCGATATAATTCTTACCTCAGGAGCCATCCAGTTCATTGAACCAACCATGGTCCTTGTTTTAGTACGAGCATCCCCCATAACAGTCGCAACTCCAAAATCTCCAATACAAATATCGATACTAGACTTCATGAATATGTTACTCGGCTTCAAATCTCTGTGGATTACTCCCTGACGAAGTGACGAAGGTTCAGAAGTTGCTAAACATTTAAATAATACTCCAGTACGGTTATGTTAAATATCTAATACTTAATATTTTCGGCATACTTAGCACTTGGAAATTACAGTCGTATAGGTACGATATATAACAACAAGACGACATACTCCAAGGTAGCTTCATAGTAAACAGTGAGTGAGTGGTAATGAACACTATAATTATGAGGCGATGCACAGTAAGTGAGGGGCATTGTGCTAGCTCATCATGTTTACTGACATGATAACTTTCTTCCAGCCCCACAACTAGCACTTTAATATCTAGCTGGTAAAGAAGCTGAGTTTTATTTCCATATTATATCTGGTTATCCCTGCTTCTGTATGTTGCTTTTAATACTAGCTTCTTTACATCCTTTCCCGAATAAATTTGTACATAAATCTCTACAAAATGTTTCACAGCATGGACCATATCCTAAGAAGTTTACAAAACTTAAGTCCCAACTGAAAATCAAGGTAATGAATAAGTATAACATGATATGTAGTATGTACCGACCTTCTCGTGTACAAATGTCATAGCATCAATAATCTGCCCGATCCATTTCTTTAAAACGAGCTCGTCGAACTTCTCCTTATTTTCCCGTTTCTTACGAAGACATATTTCTAAATCTCCGAGAGGATAGTAATCCATCACAATACACACGAACAGAGCACCCTCTTCCCTGTCCCAGGATACGAAGAATTCCCTAAAATATGGTTAATAAATTTACTAGTGGCCACTTCTCAGAAATCTGTGTGTTTAAATGGAGAACCAGCTACCGAGACCGACCGAATTAGGTACGCAATTTTAGGATGTATTTAAATGCGTTTCTTCGAAATAACATACTGATTATTTGCTTATATTCATTGATATTGTACGGAAGTAAAATAAGAAAGCAAAGTACCTGTAGCCACAAATATAAGGGTGAGCTAGTTCTTGCAGAGCCATTGCTTCTTTAAATGCCTTGTTAGCTTCTGCTTCATCCTTACATTCCATTTTCTTGAGCACATACCTGATTCACAAACCAGTGAACATTTCAAATAATCTTAGTATTAACTTAATCATGGATAAAACAAATGTTGTTATTTGATTTGTACGTATAAATTGTAATATTACAGCTTGTAGTTGTTGCGCGATATAAAAATGTGTAGAAGAAACTAGGTGCAGGAACCCATCTAGTTGCTGGAACCCAATATTTTTTACAAAACAGAAAGTTCTGAGTTAACTTACTTTTTGCCATCTTCTTTAGATTCCACGAGGAAAACAGAGCCCTGAGACCCCTTCCCAAGTCTTTGTGCTAGTATGTAATTCTCCATCACGTCATGGAACTTCCCTTCGAACTACACGGTGTGAGAACTACAAATTCATCTTTGGAATACTTGGAAATTGCTTCGGTCACTCACTAATAATCAACGACAAATAGACTAATAACTGATCGATTGGAAGAATTAGGTACTAATCTAACTAATCCATCTCAGCTTGAAAACTTACCAATCAAAACGGTTAAAAACGGTTTTAAGTAACGAAACGATGCTAAATAAAAGATACTTAAAGTGTTAAATAGTAAAGTTTATAAACTATAGAGTATGGGCTATAAATAAAGTCAAGAGTCTGCTCTGCAATCTTCAACAGATATGATTGTAAAATAACGTGCATGATGACAACAATCTGGTTCAATTTACTGCCCTACACGCTGCAAGTGAGTGCTGAAAATGAATTTGCAATGACCAGCCAAACGCTGGTCCATTCAGTGCTAACTAGTTATATTCCCTGGATTAAAATAAACTGGATTCCAGGATCGAGGTGAGATAGATTAAGAGAGACAATTATCCACAACTTAATACTCGACAAACTGGCTGTAAAAGAGTAAAAAGGTTAAACATAAAAGGAGGACGGGGCGAGTATTATCGACAAGTCACACCACAATAGACAGTAAAAGAATAAAGCTGCTCAGAGGAGAATAATGACGTAGTGGTTGCTAGGGTAACAAAGGACGGGGCTAGATGTTGGAACATGGGCTGAAACTCAAACCTGGTTAGCATAGTATGGACAGTGTCCTATCATGACTCCTACAACCTAACAGAAGGGAGAGAAAGGTTAGTAAAACTGGTGAGCCAATGTCATGGAATTAATTATTACTGTGAACAGTGCATTGTATTATTGCATCTTATTGCAATTTCATCTTAAATCTATTAATTTCATTTCTTTTGGATCAAGTTTCAATAAATGATACCGATTGACTTTTATTTCACTTTTATTTCATGTAATGCACGAGGCGAACGTTGTATTTCAGCACACAGTTAAATACAGATGAGCGGCAATTAACTAAAATCAAAAACTTACTTAAGTTGTTCTAGAAAACTGTCACATAATATAATTAATGAATTAAGCAACGGAAAATGCTGCCCTAGAAAATACACATAAAAAAGGTAAAAGCATGGTATGTTATTCAACATTGTCAGCTGAGTAGTCAGAATGGTAATCAAATTCAAAGCTATTATAAAAATATTGTTGAGCTTGGTAGGTAGTTCAAGTAATCAAGATTTTTGTCATTTGAATAGCTTGGAATAAGATTTGTTCACCCGTTCGCATTTCTACATTCTTGATATAGCTAGTATAATCATTTTAATTTTACTGATTTATTCTGAACTAAAAACGAATACATCAATTTCAATATCAAAATCAATCACAATTATTTTCAGACTATCTTTAATTTTATTGATTATTTTCTCCCAAAAATCTCCCAAATTCCCTCCCACTCATGCACCATTGTATAATGTACATTATTATTGTATATTACAACCAATTTAACATTACATTCCAATACTGAATACAGATAAAGTTGTCGAAAATGCTATTCGATCGCAGTCAAACCACCGCCATCCCCCTGACTAGAAGTAGAAATGTTCACCACCTTTTTTATTGATGAAACACTGTCTGATTTTACTAGCATTTGGGACGCTGTAACAATAATCACATTACCATTCACTAGTTTGGTTGCTGGCTCCTCAAAAGGCTTTAATTTCGTTCCTGGCAAATCAGATATAAGCCCATTAGTCAAAGGAGTATCAATAGGTTTTTCAAGACGGTTACCAGAATCCAAATCTAGGTGATCTGGATTCGATAAAGTTTTGTCTGTTTCCAAGGAACCGTTATCTGAATTATGGACTCCTTTTTCGTCCAAAGGATCAACTTGAGGAACGTCTTCACAAGGAATATTTTTAACAGTTTCTAGTTGCTCCCCAGCAGTTGTATCTTGCAATGATAAATTGTGTGATAAGCCATCAGCAATATTTTTAGAAGAATCTGCATTAGCTTGATCACTGTTTTTAGCATCATGTAGTATACTCTGCTCGTCTATACTTACAACAACACTTAACCTGCCAGGGTTTGTTTCATTTGACAGAGTCTGAGTAATAAGCAGGTCCCCACTGGGCTTAGTGGAGACAGTGCTAGGTTTAGTGGATATGTTACTGGGATTAGAATGATCAGATGTTGATTTTCCGGCTGCGTTGGTAAGGGTTGATTGTGATGGTCCACTTGAGACACTGCCATCATAGCCAGTATCAGCTTGTTTATTGATTGAATTGGTTCCAGAACTCTCAGAATGATTGCTGCCTGCCACAGAAACTCTCCGCCCTTTTCTCAAGATAGTGGTCGGAGTTTTTGTTTGATTGAGGTAGGATCTTCTACGTTTTTTGACATTGGCAGTCGCCATCCTGTTGTATTCCTCGTTTCTAAAGCTAACTTGTGTTCTTCTAACATTGCTCGATCTGTCACTCAAATTAGTTCTACTGTTATTGATATCAACTGTCAAAACTTCAGAACGAGATTTAAGGTCACAATCGGACAAGCTGCCAAGTGAACCTCTAAATTTCTGAGTCCGGCTGTAGGCAGAACGGGGAGTGGACATGCCGCTGCCAGTGTATGTTGCTGTATTGTAGCCACTTTTACTGTTACTCAACTCTTGAGCTTTAGCTAGAGCTTGAGATCTGTGCTGCATGATAAGCTCTTTTCTAGCATCATGAGCTTCTGTTCGAGACTCTGGGGTGGCAGAAACTAGGACAGTGACATTTGTTTGAGAGCCAGCATCTTTTGTACGCCTGAAAGCAAAATTTGTTTGTGAGATATTAATTTGAAAGAAAGTATTATGCATGACACCTGATCTTCATCACGCATAAATCTTACTATATATAAAGCTAGACGATATATGTTTATCCGTGCCATTTTACTGACACCACGGCATCAACTTTAACGCTACTTTCCGCAAAAACCGTAAAAGATGTACGACTGAAACTTTTTTGACTGGGCCAAATGCTTTAATGGCCTCCAAATCAGCATGAAAAAATAAAAAATTGGCCAAGAAATAGAAGTCTTAGAGCCCCAAATTTGGACCCCCAAGTGGTGTCAAAAACGCGAATTAAATAGATAATAATTATTTTAGTCTCTTGAGTCTTGACACCAATTTAGGGTTATACGGGTTCCTGCTAGTATATTTAAATGCAATTATGACATACCTAAATAACAAATATTATCATCTCTACAGCCTTCATTGTGATTGAGAAAAAAAAACTTATATTATTCAAGGTGTTAATGTTTAATGCTAGTCTTTACCATCATTATTACTTACAAGGTTTGTATTTGAGAGGCAGATGCAAGAGCAGCAGATGATCCACAGCCCATAAACAACTGTATAGGGCACTCAGAGGAGGTATGAGACGAAGCTCAATCTCAGAATTAAATTTCCATGCAGAATCTCATTTCAGCAATCATTTTCATTAGGCTTGTATCCTGCAATTATCATTCAATTAATCAAAAATATCTCATTACATTCAACCATTTAAATAGGAACCACCAGAAAAATATTTCATTATTTAATATTTTAAAAATATCATTGTAATAATAAAGAATAACATGGTCCCACCTTGTGGACCTAAAACTCTATTAGAAAGATAATACCATTCAAAAATTAAACTGGTTTTGATTCTCATTTCATCAACAACCTGGATGCTTTGAAACAAAAATTTCAATGAAACAAAAATTTGTTAACCACCTGCTACAGTAAAACCCCATTTTACAGCACTTCAATTGAGCGCTCTAGCGCGGGTTTCAGAAACACCCAAAACCTCAGAATTTAAGTGTATTTTGCAACAGGACCCTGCGGCTTGTGAAAATGTTCTGTTACGTGTAATTTGATGCAAGGTGGGATTGAGATACACCCACCTTTTCACCACCTAATAATTGAACCCCTGCTTTTTGTCGTCAAGTCAAACAGCATGAGAGAGACATCCTTAAACTTCCTGTATGATGTGGTGGCATAGGCATCATCAATCTCTTGAATATGATTACTCAGTGGCAGTCATCAAAGATCTCGTGAGTGCACTGAAGGACCTCAACTATGTTCTGAACAAGCAAGAGTTCCAAGACAACCAACATGCTATGGTTTGAAGATCCAAGGAGTACCCTCTAAAATGAAACAAAAGTTACAATACTCTTGATTGTAAGTTAAGTGGATATGTTTCCATGCACCACAATGCTGTAAAAGACACTGCAGCTTTCTTCCTCCAAGAAGCAAAGTTTAAGGGTGATAGAGCCTACACACCTGCCTGTTCCAACTTCATTTTCAAGGAAGACCAAAACACCCAGGATGAAGCCCTTCAATGTTGCACCTGTTGGACCGTATGTGCCCTTTAAAAACATTCTTTTACATCAGGGTCACACATCCTATCTGCGACTCAAGTACCTTTAAGCTACTAAATAAGATACAGTGAGCATTAGAAGGAGAATAAAGGTATCTATGAGGAAATGTTGAGGTTTGTGACCGCTCTAAGTTGTTTTTGTATATTGTATCTCTGGGATGATAGCTGACCAAAAGAAGAATCTAAGATTCACGTCAAATATCATATCAGAACACGATTTAGCTTTGATCTGATATGATACAAAGCACACTCATTGCACTGAGGGAATCATAGGAGCAACCCATCCCGGACTGCAAAAATATCTTTGAACCTCATCCCTCACTCCTCAGGAGACAAGCTTTGAAGTTATATGATATTTATAATAATTATATATATTACTTGTTTGGAAAATTTGTAAATACTGTATAAAATTTTGCGAAATGCTACTGGGGTAGTTAAGTAAAACAAAATTAAAGTAAAACAAAATTTAAATTTTATTGCCATTACAATGAATAATGATATCATAATAAATATAAGTAGACATCCGATAATAAACTTGTTACATCCAGTACAACCCAAGATGTCAGCCAACGCGACTTACAAAAATAAAGAAAGCTAGCATGTTCATTGTTCATAGTTTTTCTAACGAGCATACTTAGCTGTACGGAAATAGCTTTAATTCTACGTCATATTAAAAACTTTACATCATTTTTGAGATACAAAAATAAATTTTAAAATAAATAACTCTTTTGCTGCTTAGGCGCGGCACCGCGCTTGATCCACCATAAACTTTAAATATTGTCAAGATATTAAACGAGTTTTCCGAAATAATATAGCATGCTGACTCCGTAGAATATTACAATTATACCCGTGCCAGTTCCAAATGTGAGTCAGAGCTTCAACCAAAATCAGTTAGCAAAAGGAGCCAGTTGCCTGCAAGAGCTTTACTAGCACCTGATTTACCACTTTTGGAGCACAAACTCAAACCTAAAACCGGCCAAGCACAAAGATATGTTATCGCCACGATTGGGTGGATTGATTCCCAGAATATTTATCAGCACGCGGCACTAATAATATGAAGTTCATTATCGAATTTTAGATATGCCATGGATCGTTTAACACATATATAAAAGGTTATTACCGTGTTGATGGTTTTAAATTTTGTATGTTGTAAGCACTTTAGTTTGTGAAGCGTTTACTCCTCCCCCTCAGCAAGACAGCTAGATTATAGATTAATGATAATAATTGTCAAATGTCGTTATATATTATATAACAGTAATAAATGTTCAATAGTTGTAGAGCGACTTCAAGAGTAGTGGTCCACAGGGGTCCGAAAAAGCCGTACAGGCACTTGGGTCCTTATCCTTGTCACTAATCTCAATTGGATTCGGTTTACACAAAGCATGAACATTTAGACGTACACATTGACACGATATTTATTAGAAAGCAAAAAATATAAAATAATACGTGCGTGCGCGGCTTGAGCCGCGCCGCATAAGAACGGATGCGTGCAGGGGCTGGAGTACGCTTGTATGTAAATTAATGAAATGTTGCATTGTAAATATCTAGAATTGACGATATATTTTGATCTAAAAGTAAATTTTACAAAGCTGGCTTTGGATTTAGGTAAGATTATAATTTATTTTTTAAAAAAACCACGGATAATTTTAAATTTATTTCTATTTGTCGTATAATCAAAAACAATTTAATCATGTTTTTAAGAATGCGCGGCTTTGGCGGCCAGTTATTGACTTATACATTAAATTGAATTTTAAATAAAAATGTGAATATATTAAAATTTAAAACTTTCAAAACGGAGGCTTATAAATATTATTATATTATGATTGTAAAATAAAGGATAAAATTTTAAATTTGTTTCACTAAATTTGTTTCACTATTAAAGAATAATTAATGTTTGGTTGTTGGTTGTTGGTATAAATCGATATTAATAAATTATTTAAAATAGTATTTGTGTTTGTTATTATTAACTATTGAGTTACGTTCGATTTAAATATTAAAACACTACTACAATACATTTCACAAAACAAAACGACGGGGACACAGAAAGGAGAAGGACAACACATCACACGGACGGAAACTGCTGCTGAGTGACGAGTATCTGATTATATTTATATTAATTATGGGTCTCTTGTTCATTGAAATAAGTGTGATAATACTTCTAGAGTATATAGGGCTGACACAGTTGCTGCAAGGTAAAAATTGGGGTCCAAAACCGGGAGTGTGATACAACTTAATTTCGCGTTACGTAGTAAGAGATACAAAATATAAAATATAAGATATAAATGACTGCAGTTCCAACCTACTTCTTAAATGGCATTTAAATGTACAGTTTATTGTGTAATGAGCACTTGATTGTCTAGGCCAATAGATTTAAGATAATTTTTAAACTTTAGTAGATATATTTTTGATGATGTGTGATGATGTTTGTGTCATTATATGTTGATTTGATTTGATTTTACCAGGAGCTAGAGTTGGCATAATATTTTCCCCAGATATTAATAACAAATAAACTTGGTGCCCAAAATTTTTGTTCCTTGATTTAAACTTTTTTGCGCAAAATATTAACTTTTTGGCCTTAAATTTAACTTTTGACTCGTTTAAATTTAATTTAACTTCGAAGTAGCGCGCGCCGCATTCTTCTCGAATTATTAGCCTGAGCTAGGTAAGTGCTACGAAGTAATGCACCCGGGTAAATCAATTAACAATGGACAACTTTAAACTTTGCTTTCAGTTTGCTTTCCACAGTTTCAGTTATTTTAAAAGTAATTTATATTAAAAGTTCGTAATCAGATAAACGAAACGAAGCTTTTAATAATAATATTTGTTAAAAAAATTATAAGCTCTTCAAATAATTTACTTTCGGTATTAAATGTTGCAGCTGACCAAGTTACTGGGCGGCGCTTAGCCTGTCCAATAGTTGTCATACGTTGTATGACCCGCCGCGCACGAAGTGCGCGGCTCCCCCTGTAGCGTCGAAGACGCTACAGACACTATAGTGACACTACAGACACTATAGCGAAGCGACCGTGGGGGTCACCACGTGATACAATCCAATAGACTGTCAAATTCTGCCGAATCTATATATTCTTTAGTATTTCTGTTTACAAACATTTTAGCTTGGGGTCCGCAGGTAACTGACTGAGCTGATTTGTGATTACAATTTTTTCAACAAAAATATTGCTATTAGATATTTAACACGATCTAGTTTTTCTGATATGAAAGTTATGTGCGCGGGGTTTAAATAATTTTGGTGGATAATTTATAATTTATGAAATTTAAATTTTTAGTACTAAATTTATCAAATTTGGAAAAATAAGTTTGTGTGTCGACTTATATCATATGATGCTGCGCTTATTTTAAATTTGTTTGACGTCGATTGCAATAACTAATTTTCATCAATTAATTATAAAATATAGCTACTTCCTTGCTATTCGCTGCAACATGTTAATTGACTGAATCAGCATTTTGCCGATATAATATACAATATAATAACTTCTTAGTAAAGCTTTTTTTAACTATATTTTGTCATATCATGTTGTATGTAATGTGAGGTGATGCGGATTGAGTGTTTAAAAATAAAAAAGTTACAGATTGAAGTCCCACATTTGCCATCATATCAAACTACATGAAGTGCCTTAAAAATTTGATGAGGTTTTTGCATTCTTTTGCGGTCGACTCTGCCAAATGACCGGAAAATCCATGATCGAGAGTTTAATGAGGAGGGATAAGACGCTGGTAAAAGACTTTGAATCTTATTTGGGTTCACTTTAGTACACGAACATTGCATTGTATTTGAAATAGTTATTACTATTACTATATATTATAGTCTGTAGAAATAACTTTTGAACAATAGTTTTTTGGCTGTAATTTTGCTGAACTAAGTTTAATTTAACGATTTGGTAAAGTGTAGTGGGAACATGTGTACTAACTTTTCGGCCGAGCGTGAAATTTTTCAATGGTTAATGGAATTAACGAAATGAACAAAGAATGAAAATTATAATAGAATCTCTGAAATGAACAGAAAACGATTGGGATCGATTGATATTGATACTAAAAGTGTCCCTGAAAAATGTTATTGGTCTAGCACGTTCAGAAATGCTCC